ATTGTATTAATTAGGTTTGGAAATGTAACATAAGGAAATTAAAGGGGATAAAATCTAAAAAAAAAAAAAATTAGAAAAATATGAGCATCAGCTCAGGAATACTTCAAAATGCAGAAGGAACTGAGGTCTGAAGTGGTTTAGGCACACACAGTATTACAGTACTCCTTCAAAGGCACGATTAGTAGTTCCAGCACATCAAACTGATTTTCAGCTTCTGTTGTCTGCATATGGAAAATTATTAAATTACTCTGCTGACCAAATTAATAGTTTAAAGAGCAATTCAGTTAAGTGGGGAGCCAGAGTGGTCTCATCAGAATGGCAATACCCTTAAAAGTACTTGCTCTCTGAGAAGAATATGAGAAATGGCTTTCACAGAAGTCAAGTCCAGTACATGGGTTTGGAGGATGTGCCTTAAAGGGTTCTCTAAATGAGGGATTACTGCATTACTGTTGGACAGTGCTCTTATGCCACATGAAAAGAATGCTAATGACCTCAGGAAATCCTTTCCCAGCCTTAAAATATCTGTCTGATGACTTCACAAATACGGATTCCAACCTTAGATTTCCATGCCACAACTTCAGTTCTGTAAATTAACACAGCCTGAAGAACATCACTTCTTTTTTGTGGCAGATTTGGGGTACAAATACCCATCCCCGATGTGCACAGGGTGACACACACTGACCTCCCTGAAATGCAGCTCTCTGGGCTGCTGCTTGCAGGAGTGCCTTGCAAATTACATATAATCATTCCCAGATTGAATGATGAAGCTCTTTAACCTTTCCTGAGTCTGTCCTGTATTTAGCCCAGCATAGGGTGAGCAAACCATTAATAAGTTGCATCCTCAGCTTAATGGTAAGAATAAGGAAAAAAAAAAGATTTAAGATAGAAATGACAGGAATTTCACACTTCTGAAATTAATGACTGTTAACTGTCTTGCTCACAATAGCCTATTTACACCATCCAGACCTTAAATCTTGCAGGAAAGCTAGAAAAGTTACCCACAAAGATCAAAAGAACAATACCATCAGCTTTGAATCAGACACAACATTCTGCTAATTTCAAAAACTGCATTCAAATTTCCATTAAAATCCTAAATAAGGAAGAAGTACTGTAATAAAACTATTCTCCAGTGATGAATTAATGGGGTCTCATGCTGAACCAGGAATGCATTTTAATACTTGTAGTATGCTAAATTCCATTTCATAATGCTTTTACTTTAACTGTCATCATAAAAAATCCAGTTACTTAACCACTGAGATCTATACAAAAAAAGTTACTTCCAGCTACTAATGGAAACTGGATATTTGATAACTGGAACAGTTTTTATCTGAATGAATGAGATAACTAAGGAATGCAGAATGTTCTGGGTTGGAACACAGAATGTCCTGTATTGGGAAGGTTATTTATAAACTCATATTATATAAAGGGAAGATAGGAGGGGGAAGTATCAATTATGCTCCAACTGAAAAGAAAAACTGGCTGGAGTAACCTGTGGATTTGTTTTTAAGAGTCAGCTGGCCCCAGGTTTACCAGCAGCTCCCATAAAGCATGCCTGGGAGGATACAGAAATACCTGAGCTTAACTTCACCTCTCTCCAAGTCACGTCAGGCTCGTCGAGGTACAGTTCAAGGACAGTTTAAGTCAGCCTGAGCTGACACATTTGCACTGCTCCTGCCCTTGGCTCTGCTCTCTGGCCTCACCCCTGCACTGAACTGCTGCTCTGAACCAACCTGACAGGAAACTAAGCCAGCAAAGGGAGGAGAAAAAGGAAACTGTGCTCACTGTGGGATCACACCAGCTAAAGCACCGAGGCAAGGCAGGAGTGGAGAGCCAATCCTCAGCTAGGCACAAACACAGCAATGTCCATGGAAAGCTACTTAAATACCTTTGCTCCTTAGGGAGCTGTCTGACCCCTCTGATCTCCTGGCCCTTCCTAGTGCCCAGAGCCCTGTGGAACAGACATTCCACGTGGGATTGGCAAAAGCCCTTCCGAGGTGGAAGGTGATTTATTATTCCATGCAAAAAGCACCTACTTGGTTCTAATAGCAGAGATGGAGATAAGGACAGGGCAGCTGAAGTGGGGGTGGAGGGAGGAGTCAGAGGCAAAAACGTGGTGGAGACTCTCCCACGTGCTAAGGGGAGAGGCTGCATCATGCAAGAACCCATTTCCCTTCCTTCCACATGAGTGGTGCTCCAGGTGGTGATGCTCCAAAGTTCAGCAATCCCATCTGCAATGCCTATGGAACCAGAGCACTCCTACAGCATTCCCTATCTCCTGCTCAAGGATACTTGTTCTGCAGCTAAAGGGACCCTAGATAACATCCACTCTCACTACTTCTCCACTTATCTCTGTTTGATTTATTCACTCTTGTCGATTTTGTTTTAAAAACCCCAAAATCATAGAATCACTGAATGGTTTGGTTTGGAAGGGACCTTACAGACCATCTTATCCATTCCCTGCCATGGGCAGGGACACCTTTCACTAGACCAGGTTAGTCAGAGCCCCATCCAACCTGGCCTTAAACAATTCCAGGGACAAATCTGGGGCAAAATCTTAATATGGGGCTGAAAACTGAAGTCTGCACAGTAAAAGGAAGGAACCTTTTGCCTTATTGCTGTTTTTTTCCTCCCTGCTCACATCCCACAAGTACTGTGTGACCAAGAGGTCCCTCTGTCAGCTCCTCCCAGGACATTTAGTATCACCTAACAGGTAACACTGACACTACTGCAAAGCAATCCCAGAGAGCTGGGGGAGTGTCCTGTCCTCACTGAGCCATCTCAGGGGACAGTAATCCAGGCATCTCCAGTGGATTTGGAATGGAGAAAAGCCTATTTGCTTAGCACACCTTGTTCCTGAGCTACGTGGAGCATTCATCTCCTGACTCTTTAGAAAGTCAGTGTTACAACAAACAGAAACCAGATCTATATCCTGAACAATCAAATGTAACTCAACAGAACAGATTGATACCCTCAGTATTTTGATTTGTCTCCAAAACAAGATCCAGTAATTACATCTATAATCAAGTACCACAATTCACAGTTTAATGTTTTGCATTTATGTAGTCAATCATGATTAGTTCAGGTTTTTTAGGTTTATAAAACCCTGTCTAGCTTAGGGAGACTGGAATGAGCGGCTCAGAGATTCAGCAGCACAATCTTGTAAGGTATTCGTGCTTCGTTTACGCAAGAGGGGATTTCTACAGCAAATTTGACTCTCGTGAGGTTGAATTTATACCAAAATAATCTGCATTTTCACATCAGTGAAGCAAAACTACAGCAGAGGAGTGTGTATGAGCCATGTGAAGGTAACAGGGAGCTGTCTCCACCGGGTGAGATCTAATGGGAGAATCTCCCTTCACTGTAGCTAAATTTGGATTTATGATTCTTACCTGATCCTCAGACATTCTCTTCATTAAGGAACAGTGCTGAAAGCACACATGCACTTTTCAGTCAGTGCATTGCAAGCTTGAAACTGAAGTGAAAAGGTTCTAAGAGCACTGCAATCCACTCGGAGCAATTTTAAAGTGTAAATTTCCATTGGCAAACGGACTCACACAAGTCATTCTTTGTTCTCACAAATGTCTATTAGATACATCAAGGACAAAGTTGTCCTGTTTATTTATTTATTTATTTATTTCTAACAATACTTGGGAAATTGGGTTGTAAAATCAAAAAGTATCATATCGCTTTTAAATGAGAAATTATTGCCTACCTGGGATAGAGCTACAGCAGGATGCACAGGTAATCAGAAATGCAAGCCTCAATAAGGAGAGCTGTGCACTGATTCCCTGTGCACTCCTAAAAACACACTCCTGAATTCCTCCGTGCTGATGGGAACTGCCACAACTCAAAGTCAGCGAGCAACTCACTGAGTGAGGAAGCCAACAACGTTGTGCTGTAACACAGCTAACTTCAGGGGCAGAGCTCTCCAACGTGTAGCAGAGTGTGAGCTGAAACCTACATCTACCACCCCACGCAAGCACAGATCTCTCAAAAGAGAAATGTAATTTGCAACCTTCACCCCCAACCATTTCCTAGCGGCGCTGCCACAGCTCCCATCTGGCCTCAGCACTCATGTGAGCGAGTGCTGGCCACAGAGAAGATGGAAAATTCTGTAATTGGCCCAGCTGCCTTTGCCTATAGAAACTCTTGAAAATAACAACAGTTGGCTTTTAAACTTGTGAGCACTCTACTCGTGTGTTCTCAGTGGAGTGGTGTGAAGAGAAATCAGTCAGAGCCAGCACAGAGCTGTTAACGCTTTCCTTGGTTTCCCAACAAACACCTGCCAACTTAAGGTTTTCCATCAGCCCTCTGCAATACAATGGTTTACAGCTGAAAAGGTTTGCAGGGAGAAGTATTTGTAGGATCCTCACATGTTGTGTAAGTACATTACATTGCATTCATTAAGAGCTCAAGCTGTGAGGTCAGCGAGGCACACCGAGCTGGCATGGGCCACCTGGGCACTGCCACGCTGAGCTGGTGCTCAGGTATGCTGAGTGCAAAGTGATCTGACCAGTTTAGCTTGCCCAGCACAAACCCAGCGTACCACAGGATCACAGAATGGCCTGGGTTGGAAGGGACCTTAAAGATCATTCAGTTCCAACCCCCCTGCCATGGGCAGAGACACCTTCCACTACACCAGGTTGCTCAGAGCTCCATCCAACCTGGCTTTAAACATTCGTGGAGCACCCACAACTTCTCTAGGCAACGTGTGCCAGTGCCTCACCACCCCCACAGTAAAGAATCTTTTCCTAATATCCAACCTAAACCTACTCTTTTAGTTTGCAGCCATTCCCCCTTGTCCTGTCATTCCACGCTCTTGTAAAAAGTCCTCTCTGTACACACATATCCTGCACACAACAAACTGCAGGAGGACTGAGTCCCTGCACTGCTCTGCCCAAGGGCTCTGTGCCCACCTGGCTGTGCACACAGCCTGCCAGCACCCCAGGCTCATGTGAGGCAGCATTGAAAGCACCATGAGAATCATAATAAGCTCTTACCTCCCCCTGGAAACTCTTCAGTAACGGAGCTACCTGTTTGCGCAGGTCCTAGAAGACAGAAGCAAGACATTTCATCAGAAAAATCTGAAAGGACGAGTCATTGTCAAGTTTTTCCTGACACTGTTTTCAGTTCTGAAGTGCTGCTTAAATTCTGATCGCATTTTCTGGGAGCTTTGATTAAAATAGAAGTATACCTGGAATTCACTTTGAACAGGTCTGAATTCCCAGTTTGACATACACCTGTATCTGCTGCAAATGGTATTAATTATCAAACCTGTGGTGATGGTGGGTAAGCACTGAATGCCTTCAGTCTCCTAATTCAGCCGAAACATTAATGAGATTAGAAGTAAATGCCTCTATCTACCTCCACAGCAGCGACACCTCTGAACTTACGCCAAGGAAATTCCCAGAAATGGAAGCCAGGCTTAAAGGAAGATGACTTTGGACCATCATTTCCACTAAGAGTGTTGCCATTTTGTAAAATCTCTGTTTTAGTTATTATTTTCTCAAGAGTGCTCTGACTTTAGCCATCAGAGAACTGGGACACGTTGGAGATGACAGTATTACTTTGTTGGTTTCTGTACCACAATTCCTTCTTTCAAATGACAATACACTTAGTGCTGCAAAAGTCGTTAAAATACTGCCCACAGAATCACTCTAAAGGTTTAGAGCGTATCTTTACTTAGAAACCAAGGTAATTTAGGCCAAAAAAGGTAGATCTATCATACATAAAACTCTCTGTGGCTCCACTTTTAAACTGGTCCGGGTCTAATTCACTTACAAATTCTCATCATGTGGATGCCTGAAGAATAAAATCCTGCAGCTTAACAGAGGACACTGTTATTCCTGCACAACCAAGAAACTGGCTTTTGCTGTGGTTCCACTGACAAGGCATGAGAAGTCACTTCATAATGCACTTACAGACAGAAATCAATCTGGGAGATATAAACCAGTAACATGATGCTGTTGCCTCACTTGGGAGGGCAGCACTGATGCTGCTCCAGGAAGAAGGTGGATTTTCCATCCTTGGAGGTTTCCAAGGCCTAGTGTGGGTGCTAAAGAGCCATTTTTAGAGCCAGGTGAGATCCCATCAGCCTCTGGATGATCCCTCCAACCCAGAGTCCTACAATGCCCTGGGAACATTGCTCACAGCTGGGGCAGTCACTGACTGCTTCAGTAACCACAAAATCTTCCTACCCCTGCACCAGCCACAGTCCCTGAGCTACCTGAACCTCATGCAAGGACTCCTAAAAATGTCTTTGAAGCATTTCCTCCATGTAAAAAGTCTGTTGAAGCCCTGAGCTTTTCAGAAAAGAAGGTGACCTTAAAAAGTTGGGAAATTCTCTTTTCCAATGCATTTGCTTTTACATCTACAGTCATACAACATATTGGACATTAAACCACTCACCAAAACACTCTCAGCCTTGGATTTAATCTGATTTTCCTGAAGGAAAAGTAGGCTTTTGAGAGAAGTGGGTTTTGTCATTTAAATGACAAGTCATGCAGAGAGTTGGAGTATCAGGAGTTCTCCCACTCCCTGAGAGATGGCTTAGGGGGCCAAAGGCAAATGAAGCTATCAAAGACAAACGATCAGCCAAATTTCACTTCTGACATGGTTATTGCACTAACATACAGCTTAATCCCTATCAAGTTAAGGATAATGTTTCAGCTTCCTAAGCTCCCTCTTCGCACTGAACCAAACTGTGTCTGTTCTTAGACCAACTCAAGTCACCTCAATGTTTCCTGATACATTCTGCTGCCTATTTGGGGAAAGAAAAAGGTTAGATAGTGTCCTTGTACATCACAAATGTCTGCAAATCACACCTCCACCAAAGCAAACCAGCAGGTTGAGCAGCTTTTCCCCACTCCCTGACTCCTCTGGGAGACCTGAGGGCTGTGCACGTTTTGGAACATGTTTTCTTTGTAACCTGACGATTCTGACATTCAACAAAGTAACAACAACCACTGATGGCAAAATAAGTGCCCAGTTCAAGGCCCAAATCTGCCATGGCAGGTTTTAATGAGCACTGAAATTACAACCAGAGAATCGAGCAGCTTTTCCCCACTCCCTGACTCCTCTGGGAGACCTGAGGGCTGTGCACGTTTTGGAACATGTTTTCTTTGTAACCTGACGATTCTGACATTCAACAAAGTAACAACAACCACTGATGGCAAAATAAGTGCCCAGTTCAAGGCCCAAATCTGCCATGGCAGGTTTTAATGAGCACTGAAATTACAACCAGAGAATCAGATCTACAAATCTGCCATGGCAGGTTTTAATGAGCAGTGAAATTACAAACAGAGAATTAGATCTACAGTCTGGATCCCTGCACCCTTTATAAAATCAGGGACAATTATACAATCCAAGCAAAGCAACTTTTCTTGAAATACAAATCTCAGCCGGTAGGAAATCACTGGGTTTAAGGCTTTCGTCCCTGGTATTGCCTCTGAATTTACTGACTAGTTTGGCGCCAGCCATGGAAATGATGTCAGAAGGGAAAGCAGAAATACAAGAGATCTAATTCCAGATCCAGGGGCAGGAGAATGTAATCCCTGCTCCTCTCTGTCTGCCTGGAGAGCTCTAGCCAAGACCCTGCTAGTGAACTGCATCCTCTGACATGTACTAACTTCTGAACGACAGGATTTGCAGCACTTTTTATTTCATGATATAAACTATGTCAAGACTTTGCCTTCACATTCATCTTGAATAATGAGAGATGTTGTTGCAGGCTGTTTATAGCAGAAAAGAGGGAGAGAAACAGAGGGGGGGAAAGTAATAGAAGGAGCATCCCAAAGGCACAAAACCAGTTGGTCAGGCTGTCAAAAAGGGAGAAAAGCCTTCAGGTATAAAATCTGATTCCCACACATCTTTCATTTACCAAATTCATGATGCTAAACACTTATCCCAATGAGAAGATTACCAAGCAAAATTCATGCCATAAATGGGAAAACACGTTGTGCTTGATTCAGACAGAGCTTTTGGGGGTGGTAAACCTGTTTTTAAAACATTTGCTGATAGAGGGGAAGGCAGCCCAAAGTGCTTCAGCCTCACTGGCAAGCAATGAGTTATCCCACTGCAATCAATCCAGGGCAATCCCGGGACACACTGGTCATTAGAGCACACAGCAGAGCAGGGTAAAAAGCTTTGACAACTTGAAATCTTCGCAGTAACTTGAAATCTGTTGCAGATGAACCATTGAGACAGAGCATCCCACTGCCATTACCTTCACAGAGCAGACAGGCCAGGGAAAATAACTGTAAGGAATGTGCTCCAGTGTTTTAAACACAACCAAACACACCACACAGGTGAGTGGATAAACAGCACAGGGCAGCACAAAAGGAATAAACCACCTTTTCCACCCCAGTTTTTGTTTTTTTCCCCTCTCTTCCTGCCTTCCCCTTGGAAAGAGCCTATAGGCTACTTTTGTAATTCCTTCCTTGGCGAAACAACATCAAACCTTTAGACAGCTCCCAACCAAAGGGAAATAAAAATAAACAGACAGAAGTCAGGAACACATATGCCTCGAGTCACCAGCTACAACTCTGCTGGGGAGATTTATTTTTGGCAGTTTGGAAAAATTCCTCATCAGACTTTGTCTTAAAATATTACAGTAACATCAAACAGAATTTTACCTTCTTTACACTAAATTGAACAGAAAGAAGGACGTTCAGTTTGGGCCCGGGGGAATCTGCAATGTTGGTTAGCAAGGACACCGTATGATTTATTATCTGTTTAAAGTGTGGTGGCCTTTACTGCCTGGGCTGGGATCAAAACAGGAAAAGCATCCAGCTCCAGCCCTCACACAGCTAGCAAACCACTGCACCCAAGCAGAACAGCTGAAAAGGATACAAGCAACTGAACATTAAAACAAATTATAATTCATCAACACAAACGCAGCGAAATATTTGAGTGCTCCTAAACAATCCCATTATTAGGCTATTTTTCCATGCTATCTAAATATGTGCATTCTCTCCCTCTCTCTGGATGATTTATCAGGATAGAGCCTTTTCCAGAAAACTGCTATATCACAGAGAAACTCAGGATTTGAAGAAGAGCCTATGAATTAGGATGCTGTATCATTATTTGAAGCAAATCTGATAGCTGAAAGCTCATAGAGCATTTTCTCTTTGCACGACTATAAACAATGAGTTGATATTTTGATCAAGTAGCTACACAATGAAATCTGAATCCACATAATTTTTAACTCCCTTTCCATTCTCATTAAAAATAACTCCATGGAAAATAAACCAAGAATAAATCTATGTTAAAATCCTGGGCAAGAAATGCATCTTTCTGACAGCTGAACTACATTATTTATCTGTATCTTCATACACTGTGTACAGTACAAAGGACATATCAATGGTCAGGCTACCAGCACTGTATTTGTAATTTCCTTGAGGTCTGAAGCCACACAAGCACCTTCTGATCTCCTCCCAGGCTGCTTCATCTCATTTACCTCCCAAATGCTTATCTCAAAATGTCACAAGAGCCCTCTGACCCCAGTTTGATAAAGTGATCCAGCAAGGCTGAGCTCGACCTACACACCTTTATCATCTACACAAGTATTGTGTTCTTGTAAAATAAACCAACCCAAACCCCTGGGTGAATGTTTTATCCTGTGCTTCCTGTGCCACATTTCCCAGAGATTGTTCTATATATCGTCTGCTCGAGACACACACTGGCTGGGCACAGTCCCTGTGTCTGGCAGAGAGAGCGTAATGAGAAGCAGCCCACTTGTATCAGCATCGGTGACATCATTAGTTCAGCTGTCACAACCTATTTTTGAGCTGCCTTATCACCAGCGAGATGCTCTGGCTTTCCTGCCATCTTCCCCTTTCCTGTCTCCTTCCCTGGGAGCCCACATGGAATGAGGCACTAACAAGTGCCCCATGCTCCCAACTGGCAGGGCTGGATGTCATGACTCCATATATTTTCTTTTAAGAACCTACAGAAAGAAAGAAAAAGAAAAAACCAACCCAGAACAAACCCCCCAACACATACTAACTGTGTGGGAAGGCATTTGTCAGTTCAACCTTTCCTGTCTCCT